AGGTTCTATTACTACTGCTCAGGAGCATCAGACCAAGGCCATGACCATATTGGATAATTGGGCTAATGCAGTAATCTATCCCTTTTCATGTGTGTTCTTCCATCTTGGGGCCTTGTCTGCCTCCTGTCACCTCCTGACACACACACTTTTAAAGGGTGCATGCCACATAAAGCACCTTGCTTCTAAATCCTGGATGATCTTTGGGAAATCCTGTTGTTGCCAATGCTATGGTGGAGTTGAGGGTAATCAGTCTTGGTGCTCTAAGACAGCCATAGCACAGGGTTATAACATGCCCTCTAGTCCACAATTGATCTGACTCCTAGTGGGCTTGACAGCCCTGTATAGTGTCTTCGCATGCATTTCACCTGAGCCAGTGTTGCATACCATGGTAATAGGGGAACATGACTCTCGAGAAGGATTTGAGTTATACGAGGGTTTAAACACAAAATCCCAGTGATGTCTGTTTACATCATATAACTGTTATGCTTCCTCTCCTCCGGCTTCTCATTAGTGTAGCTCAATGGGAGTTTTTCTTCTCCCCCACTCAGACCTTGATTTGACAACAGTAAGCTCAGTGAGAGTTTGGCCATTGGTTTCACTGGGAACTCAGCTAAGCCTCAGCTCCTCATATCTCCACGGCTTTCTTTTGGTTTGGCTTTGCAGGCAATATTAACCCATTATTTTGGAGTTGTGTATGGGTATTTATCAAACAGAACCAAGCCAATAAGGTTACTCATCCTGTAGGGCTGCCATGTTTGCTGTTCTCACAGGAACCCAAGCAAACACATCTCTACCTTCCTGTACAGGATTACAAAATAGCAGTGTTCAGAATCATTTTCTATTCCCTCAAGGTCCTGCTTTGTCTTACATCATCTTCCACTGTCCTGTCAATTACTGATTCCTGCCTCCTTACCCCATCAATGCATAAATTGTGCTAGTTAACAGCAGCTGATACTTGTTTATGTTCACTCATTCAACTGTTTTTCACCTCTGAGTTTGGCTCAAAATCTCTAAAGTCTCCCCTGTAATTACAAGTTGTTTTAATGTCATTTTTACTGTCGTTTTACTTTATTCAAAAGGTTGAATGACATTTCTAACGTGATTAAATATGCAACACAACAGAGGGCAGAAAAGAGATGGATTAAAAGGGTTTTACTTCAACAAGCTTTGCATCACAGCAATGGAAAGCAGTACCATCAAATTCTTTCCTTTCCATAAATGAGGGAATGCTTGTTAATATCAGATGACAATATCTGCAGCAAAGTTGCAAAGTACATTTCCCCATTTGCAGGCTGCTATGTAATTTACAGTTAACTACTCTTAGGAACTCTGGACCTGATCCTGTTCTCCTGTACATCCATGGGAGTTTTGCCAGTCAATGAGAGCAGGACCAAGACCTCTCATTAATAATTATGCTATCATAATAGATTACTGTGGTACACTAGTACTTTATTTTTCCCATGTGATCAGTTTAAAGAAAACATTAATATGGAGTGAAGGCTATTAATAGGGCGGTAGGGTTTTTTGGGGGGAGAGCCATACCATGCACTATATCAGGGGTCAGCAACCTTTTCAAACAAAAGAGCCAAACTACATCCAAATTCAGAACAAGTGGTTAACAAGAGCCAGTATAAGCATTCCCATTTGCATAACTGAAAATATACAACTAAATATTATGGATAATTGACATGATGGTTAATAACAGCATAAATGTAACACTGTACTCACAGACTTTAATGGAACTTCTGCTGCTGGGGCTGCAGTTTGTGGCTGTAGGGGCGCAGGAGTCAGGGTTGGGGTATATGAGGAGATCAGGGCAGAGGGTTGGGTTGTGTGGGAGGTGCAGAAGGCAGAGGATCTGGGGGTGGGGTGGGAAGTAGAGTATGTGGGGATGGGATTTTGGGGCCTGATTACTTTACCTGGCTGGGGCTGCTGCACCCAGGCGGCAGTGGCTGGATGAGGGGCCAGGCCAGGATCGCTGCAGCCAGATCATGGCCTCCCCTCTTACCTATGCCACAGCAGGAGGGGGGCTACCGCCAGTCCTTCCTGCTGCCAGATGGTGGCCAGACTGTGGGGACTGCCCAAAGATTGGGGCTGGGGACAGGATGCTGTGGCCCGATGTGGGCTGAGCTCCGATTGGGGCCTTGTTGGCCAGGCTGCTGTGGCCAGATCCTGAGTCTGAGCTGGACTACTGCAGTAGGGCTGTTGCAGAAGTCATGGGGTTGCCAGGGCTGAGCCACAGGGTCTGCCCAAGGAGTACAGCAGCTGAGGACAGACCATGGCAGTCAGATGGGGGCGGGAGCGAGGCCGCCACAGACAGAGGGAGGCATCTGCCACCACCAACCCCTCTCACTATCCCGGCTGGGAGCGCACACGTGTCCCCTACAGCACATCCTCAGTTGGCCCTTTAAACAGAGTGCCCCAGCCGGTTCTTGCTGGAGAGCAGCTGGTTCTTAATGGGGTGCAATCCCTTACTTTCATCTCTGGTTAAAGGTGAAATCGACAAAAAAAATACCATCTTGACATGAGTAATTACAGTTTTCCTCTGGTTGAAGGTGAAATCGACAAAAAAAGACCATCTTGACATGAGTAATTACAGTTTTAAAAAGTTTGAATTAATTTTTCATTTTAATTTAAAAAGTTGTGTGTATTTTGGGAATGATGAAAGAGCCAGATTTGGTTCCATACTGAGCCATATTTGGCTCAAGAGCCATAGGTTGCTGACTCCTGCACTATATGCCACTGTGTTAGCAAAAATTTCTTCTGATAGATGACTCCTGCACTATATGCCTCTGTGTTAGCAAAAATTTCTTCTGATAGTTACTTGACATTTTTTCCTGTCATCTTTATTCCTTTCTTCTCTGTAGAGTGAAGAAAATTCTTTCTCCACAGTTCTAATCAACCCTGGCTGCAGCTTCTGGAAGTCTCCTTATTTTTATCATCATGCCAAGTTCTGCTTTCAGGGCGTATTGTTTATTTTTTTAAACCCAAACCGAGATACTAAAAATCCTTCATAACATTCAGGGTGTCTTTGTGACTGAGTAACTAGCAATGAGTCTCCTTGGCTGAGCTCTCTGATCAATTACAGGTAGACTGGACCATACAAAAATATTCAGAATTACAGCTGATCTGATTTTTTCCATAGTCAAAAGAACTCTCTACATACTATTTAATTACCCTGTCATTGTCAGTATCCATTAAGAGTTTAATTTGCTTATCTCAAATACCTTTTGGTAATGTGTAAGTTTTTTTAGGCATCATGTTCAATAGGACACAAAAGTATAGTAGACCCTCAAAGTTACGAACACGTTAGGAATGGAGGTTGTTCATAAATCCGAAATGTTTGTCACAAAATGTTACGGTTGTTCTTTCTAAAGTTTACAACTAAACATTGACTTAAAACAGCTTTGAAAGTTTACTGTGTAAATGCTGCTGCTTTTAACAATCTGAATCTAAATGATACAAGCACAGACATTTTCCTTAGCTTGTCAAATCTTTTTTGAACTTTCCCTTTATTTTCAGTTGTTTCCATGTAACACATCACAGTATTGTATTTGTTTTGTGTTTGTGCGCTGTCTGATGGCTTACGTTTAGTTCCAAATTATGTGTATGGTTGTTTGGTCAGTTCATAACTCTGAGGTTCTACTGTAGTAAAACAGCTCTTACTTCAATTAAGTAAAGTTTGCAAAGTTCAACCAATACGGATTCACTTGTCCAAATAGACTGTTATGGAAAAAATAGGTTGAGTAGATTGGCATTGCTCCATTAGTTGTGCCAATTTATACTTGCACAGGCACTGGAGCTGAGGTTCTTGAGGAAACTCACAAAGCTGCAATGAAATTAAGTATGGGAATAGCAAAGGGGCCCTAAAGGGAGTTAGGCCCCCAAATCTCATTGAAATTCAATCAGTTTTAGGGGCTTTATTCTTTATGGTCATTTAAAAACCACAATTAAGTAAAGACAAATAAAACATATAAATATAAAAGAAAACCATACAATACCAAAACACTTGATGTTTGATGGAAGACAAACACTATATTTAAATGTAATCATTGCCCCCAATAACTAATCCTTGTAGTTAGTTTTGAAAATTAGTAAAATACCAAATGATATGTGAGCACCGAAGTCAACAAGGTATCTACATTAGCATATAAAACAAAGTTACTTGTGAATTTGGCTATGTCTTTATTTCTCATGTCTTTCCTCCAGATGCTAATTTAGGTCTCATTTGCTCTGTTTTGACACTTGGGTTTCTTTGTCAAGTGTCCACTGGCAATTTTGTGATTGTTGAGAAAAGTAGCTACATTTAAAGAAATTTTTGTTTTGTTTTGTTTTTGTTTTTTACAAATTACAATGGATATAACTAGAGCAGACCATATAATAGTCCCATTAGCACTAAACGGCCTTAAGTTGAAAGAGGCTAGCTGTCATATTTAAACAAAATAACTCGCAGTCTGAGCAATTTTAAGGACAATGATAATTCATAGTATAATACAATCATGCACCAAGCTCAAAACAAATGTAAGACTGGCACAAATATTACAATACAACAGGACAGAAGTTAAAAGGTATGTACAAGTTTTTTGACAAACATTGGTGCAAGTGCTTTAGATGAAACATTTAAAATAAATATACACTAAAACAACATAGATTAAAATTTATCAAAATGTGATAAATTTAAAGACGATAAAAAGGTACACAAAATATGAAAAAAATTAAAAAAAAACCCCAACCAATACATATATTGCAGCTTTACTACATCTATGTTACAGAATGAAGGAAATTGGAGACAAAAAAGATTTAAGAATTCATAGCAAAGAAAGTTCTACCAGACTTGAAGGATAGAATTTCATTGCCAGTGAGAGAGACACACGCACACTCACAAAAGTAAAAACAAACACAAAAAGATCATTTACTGTAACAAATGACAGACACAGAGGTGAGAAACATTTGGCATGTTGCATCACAGGAAGTCATTCACGATTGGCTAACGATGGTACCTGGCTCGGTTGGAGATCGCTGGCTTGCCTGAGAGGAGTAACTGATGGAGGAGGCACACCTGATGTGGATGCAGATCGACCTAATCTGCAGCTTGCTTTAGGCTCTAAGAAGGGAAAGAAAAGATGACATATGCCTAGTTAATGGTATTATGGATGTTGGTGCAGTAAATTGCAACTTGAAATTACATAGAAAACTAGAGCTCCTGCAAGTGCTATGAACATGCCTGGTAACCACCCTAGGACTTTCCCACAGTATGGCATCCAAGCACAGATTCTTGGACGTCTTGGGCGGTTGGCTGAGGAGTTTTCTAGGCACTGGCTGCCACTATGGCAATAGAAAGTTCTGGAACTGACTTCTTCTTGCACCTCACGGTCTCAACTTCTTTCATTTCAAGTGGCATCTTTGAGGCTGAAGAGTGGAGCAGTGAGCAGCAGAGATAGGAAGCATGTCTAATTTTCCTTCTGCTCTCCACCACACATTCTGGCTGCTGCCATGTACAACTTACTTACTTGCATAACGTGGCAGTGATTGGTGAGGGGAGCTTGAGAGAGGTAGCCTGTGACCTAATACTCTCATTCAGAGATTGAGTGCGCTAGATAGTGGAAGAGGACAAAAATGTAGTGGGGCTGAAGGACAATAAGGGAAAGCAGAAAGAATATAGAGTTCTTGGGGAAATGGACAGAGATGGGAGAGACGGATGCGATAGGAGGGGAAAATAGGAAGCTAGAGATTTTCCACAATCAAGATATCAAGATTTGCAATGTCATGAAAGCATCACAGAAATCTAAATGTAGTTAACAGTGAGTCAAGGTCAGCCACAGAATAGAGAGTAGAGGGAAAGAACTCCACATTTTAATACAGGCCTCAGTAATGGAGTCCGTGAAGTTGGTTGCATTATGTTGTCTCCAGCTTGTGTATTCCCCACACAGGATTGATTAACATAAGCAAAGAAATGGGAAAGAGAACTTGAGCACTTGAAAGGAAGCTTGATGCAGAGGTATTTGATTTCCCTATCCTGGTTTTGCACAGAAAAATTTCCTGAAAGATTCCCCACTGATTTACAATGCAGTTTACTGTAATGATCCCAGGATAAATGGCCATACTGGGAGAAATGTAAAACCCCATAGCACTGGTCTGTCTGCAGTTGGCTTTGTAAAACATCTCCCTGGGAATCCAGTCTGCCCATCTCTGGTTGAGAGAAATGTTGCTCCCTGAAAGAACTGCCATGCGCACATCTCCTCTAGGCATTGGTTTGCCTTTGTCTGGCTCAGAGGAATGTGTTTATTCTGCTTGTCTGTGATATTCCTTTCAACAATCCTTTATCTGTCTTGTTGAATATTTAAACTGTAAACTCCTCAAGGTAGGGACTATCTCTTACTATGTGTTTGCTTAGTGCACAGTACAATAATGTCTTGATTTTATTTGGGTTTCCGACATTCTGTCATAATACAAACAATAATAATGTGTCTCTTTATATCTAACTGAAAAGAAGTGTCTTCTCACAGCTCACACGTGCCAGAGTTGAGCTGAAGGCACACATCCCCTCATGGTTATGGTCTAACACGTCTCCTCACAGGTCTTACCTGCCTGTATCTGAGAGAAATGTGTCTTCTCATATCTGGCGTACGTACACCTTCCCGCCAGAACACACCTCTCCACAGCATTGGGAGCATTAGGGACCTGCAGTGGCTGGCTGCTTGGGTCACTTCCTACATTGCATTTGTGAGTGGGTCAGCAGGCCATCCTCCTTTCATCACCACCCACTTTTACCCACACCATTCTTTCAGGAAGCTCCATGACAGCTGACAGCCTGCACCAGTATGTAATCTGATGTTTTTCCTGTCTGGACTAGGACAGTGCACTAGTTACTTGATTAGACCTGTTTTGAAATAGTGTGTTATTATACATCTTAAATCATTTATTTTTTCATACAGTCTGTGTGCAAGGCTCCCAATTTTTCCTTCACTAATATATGCACTAACAAACGGAGATTTCCTATTGATTTCCATGGAAGAAAAATTGGGGCTTATTTTTGTTTTGTTTATCTGTTAAGGACAGATGCTATGCTGTCTCCATGCTAAGCAAAACCAGATTCTCAGCCAGCATCATTTTGGTTAGCTTTGTTAATGTCAAAAACTCTTAAGGCGTTATCTGCCATTGCTACTGAGTTGTTTTCTTTATTTTGAGAAAGCAGAGAAAAATGTCATAATTTCCAATTTGGATATACATGCTGCAATGAGAGACCATCATTTCCTTGCCAAAGACAATCCTTTCATCTGGCATCAAAGAAATAAAATCCGTCCTACTCAGATGAAATATTAGTTTCTTCTTTATCTCCCTGGCAATATATTCAAGTGTCAGAAATTATTGCAAATTCCAGCATGGTTGTTACTATGGGAAGTTTCCAATAAATGCCTATCTAGCTTTTTTACATTCCAAAGTTTAGTTGAATAAGAATTTCTTTTTTAAAAGAAGGGGCTGTTCCATTGCTGTCAATAGGATTATTTTTACGTGGAATAAATTGGAAACATGCAACAGAAATGTTTACTATAAGCTACTGCTGCGGCATGGAATGGAATCCCCACCTCCAATGATATGTCAGATATGGGCTTTATAACTGACATCACTATACTCATTACACCTAGTTCTGCCTTCTATTGTTTGTCCACTGAGCACATCTTATTCCCTGTACTCAGTTAACCAGACTTTGAGTATAATGACCCTTTTCTCTGAATAAGGAGTTCAGAATAGGGCCCCCTAACTACTACAGGAGTACTCGGTGTATAATGGCATCCAGCATCAGTGAATTCCTTTTCTGATCTTAGTATTTCAAATGACAAATTTGAACTTGTCTTCAGTGCTGTGTTTCATGGAGCACACAAGCAGAGTTAGTTTGCAAACTCCCTGCGGCTATTGCCAAGAGGATCCCAAAGGGTTTGCCAATATAGTGGGTGGGCAGCTTCTAATGAAATTTCACATGATGGTGAACCTGAAGTGGAGACAGGCCAGTGTCAAGTGCTAACATAACCTGGCTGAGCCCCAGGTGTGTCCCTAATGCATTGGGCACAAAGCAGGAGGAATGTGTGCTTTGATACGGCTCGGTGTGGTAGTAAGAAGTAGGGGGACTCTCTGGTTCTAAATAAATCTGTCCCAAGGGCCACCCCTCATTCCAAATGCAAAATTCAGAGACAGTGGCCGTGTGACATTGCTGCTAGCCACTCAACTGCTGACAAGGCCTGAGGATCTCCTGCTATGCTAGAAGAATCCCAAGCATGCGGGTAAGTGCTTTTCTGGGTTGGAGCCAAAGCATGTCATATATGAGATGCCGGTTGTAATCAATGAGCACCACATGACTGGAACTCAGCTGCTCACGTTAAAACATAGTGCGTTGTTTTCAAGACTTCATTTAGTTGAAACAATTTTTTTTTAAAAAAGATTTAGTTGCTATATTTGCTGATGAAACATTTGTTGTGGTAGTTTTCTCGGCTTGAAAAGCCAGTTCCTTCACCTATGTGAAATGAAGCACCCGCTAAGGGCCAGATCCACTATCAGTGAAGTCAGCAGAAAGACCTTTTTCAATGGCGTTAATTAGGCCCTGATCCTGCAATAGGATCTAAGCATGCAGATGCTTGAGCAGGGTCCCAGTGGTGCCAGTGGAACTCCACATGGACCAAAGGGATCATATTGTAGGATCAGTGTCTAAAAGGAAAACACTGAGCTCCCATAAGAATATAAGGTATATATTTTCAAATGTGGGCACCTAAAAGAAGATATCTGCATGATCCATTGTCCTCAACTAAGAGTGGTTTGTTTTGTTTTTTGCTAACATAGCAGACATCTCTGTGCTAAGGCCAGAATTTTCTCAAATAATTTAGGTTTGTTTTATAACAACAATAGGTAGTTTCCTGCTTTCATTAGTTACACAATTGTTCTGCGGGATTTTTACTTCTGGATTTTATCAGAAGAGATCTCTTTTACACTATCCCAGGGAGTCATCATTCTGCCTATGTTAATCTTAATTTAAAAAAAAAATTCTCTGGCTGTCACATACACTAGAGACACTTCTTATCCTGCCGCAGTGTCTCCTTTGCACATGAAAATAGGAATATTGCTTATGCATTACTGCTGCCAAGAAGCACATTTTGAATTAAACAATAAGATATGACAGGATGTATATCCTGTGCAAAATATTGAATATGCACATTTTAAAATGAATTGTTTCTGTTTTATTGACCTAACCTCACTGGTCTCCAAATATAAATATAAATATCCTGAAATAAAACTGAAATGCTCTAATACTGTAGAGGAAGAAATCATTCAATATTTTTCTCTCTGAAACATTGAGATGAGACTGTATTCAGGAGGAACTCGGTGGTGAAACTGAAGAATAGCACATTTAAAAAGAAATGTTTGTACACGATACATGATAAACCCTTGGAACTCCCTTTTACTAGATATATCTGAGGGCAATATAGTAGAATTCAGAAATGGGATTAGACATTTATAAAGAGCTAACAAGAATATCCACAGTTACACAGATTTAAAAAAAAAAATAGATGGGGGATATAAACCCTCACATTTCAAGGCACATGCCAATCACTAACTGATGGAAAATATGAAGAAACAACTCTTATTGGCAGGTTATTCTTATAGTCCACTGCACTTCCTGTGGAGCAACTGTTGCTGGCCAAAGTCAGACACTGGACTACATGAGTGATTAGTTTGATCTGATATGGCAATTCCTATATTCAGAGTATGCATATGTGCCATAAAATGGTGATGTGTTGATGTGTAAAGGGTCAGAGTCTGAGAATTTTTTCATATGCACATATCTTCTTTACAGCTTACTGGGTTCACTGTCTCCTCTGCATTCTATCAAAAAATCCACTTTCTTTTATATGCGTATGTAGGATTATATACCCTGTCATCTAGGAAGGAGTGATAGAACTGTGTATTAAGAACACAGATTTGTTGGTACACACACACTTGTTTTCAATGGCTTACGCATCTCCGCATCCCTGGGAGGTCTTTCAGCAGGCCTCTAATGGCGCATAGGCCGCCAGTCCTCATTTGAAGAATCCCTGGGACAGCTGGCAATGTAATGCTACTGCCTGCCATTCTCTTGGGGTTGAATCCTCTGTAGATGAAGCAGAGATAGGTCGGGGCAGTTTGTCTCCTGCCCCATGACAATGGTATGAATCAGGCCCTATATTTATTAGGCCTCCTAATTGGAACTTTATTTTTTGGCCAATGATTCTTCCATAGGTTAAGAGTTGATTTTACTTTGATATCCAAATGGCAACTCTGGTTAAGTACAATATATTCATTCCTTCCCTGATCATCTGCAGAGTATTCATCCTGAATGTTAAGTGTGTTGGCTGAATGTCTAATAGATGGTGATTATAAAAAAACAACCCCCTGCCCCCCAACAATCAGTTCTAGAAAAAACACACATTTAAAATGCCCTGCAGTGCTTCTCTCCCACAGCAGGTGGCAATGCGAAATGCTACATAGGAGCAATAAGAGAGCAGCATTCCAGAAAATGCTCTTTAAAGCTCCTGGAGTTAAATTATATGTGCCTCCCATTTTGTAAACCTCCTGTAGCTCAGCACTAAAATCGCAAGGACATGTTTTGAATTTTGCTGTGCATAAAAATCATTGACAGTGTTTTCCAAAAGGGGCACTCTGATAGAAACAGTATCATGCAGATAGGGTGCAATGACATTATCTGAGAGATGGGAGGATGATCCAGTGCTATGAAAAATGATGCTTGGAATTAGTGACCTAAGGACATTCAAACTTTGCACACCCACCAAAAAGGTCTGTGATCTTCTCTGTACGGGCCCAGGCTCTGATTTCAATCTTACTAGGACCAGTGGAGCTCAAGAGTTACAAACTAAAATATTCTATGGAGTTACACTGTGTAAAACCAGTATAAACAAGATTGGAATCAGACCCCAGAAGCTAATTAATTTGGGTTCCAAATTCCCAGCATAGTTCCAACAGGAAATACAATAAATCACACTGACTTGTGCCTATTCAGATATAGATAAACCTTACTTTTTGTTTTTCATTTAAGTGTAATTCTACTTTGCTTTTGATGGTCGCAATCCACAAGAACAGTTCACAGTATAGTAGCTGGAATAAAATGCCACAGTGAGAAAAAATAAATTATTTACTGATACAAGAGCTATGGATCCCATCCAGGGAAAAATGTACGTGGCTAACTGGAGTGTGCAACTCAAAGACATTTTGCAATAAATAATAAATTTGAACCCCTCCCCACAAATATACTCTTTGGGGGGTGGGGAGAAAAAAATCTTAATTCAGCCAATGAAATATTTGTGTAGTACTAACAGTTCCACTTGGCCTCTGAGGCTTTGATGGTCTTTGTGATAAAAGAAAAGACCCAGTCACAGGTAGGTGCATTAAAGACTGATCTGACACCCACTGAAGTCTAGAGAGCAATCCTAATATATACAGTTTTGCATGACTTAATTGAGAGTTGAATGAAGTCCCTATGCAGTAGTGTCTGCATTAGGGCAGAATGGAAGTGAAATATTTTGTTTATTACTTTATTCATACAGAGAATGGGTCCCTCGGTTTAATTTTTCCTTTTCTTTTCTTTTCTTTTCTTTTCTTTTCTTTTCTTTTCTTTTCTTTTCTTTTCTTTTCTTTTCAATATTATTGTCCAGCACAGCTACAAAGCTTGGTATGTACCTTGGGTCTGTTGTACCTGACATTCTGATCTGGTAGCATTTTGCATAGATGTTAATGACAACATAATGTGTAGGACAAAGTTCCATGAATTTATCTAAAACATTCAGAGATTCTAGCCCTATAAAGATAAACTTTGATCTACTCTTAGGCCATGTCTACACAAGGAAATTATTTCAAAATTAGTAAATTTGATTTAATTCCCAATTTAACAAATTAAAACTAGCATGTCCACATTACAGAAAAGACTTGAAATTAGTCCAAGGCAGGCTTTGTTAATGTGGATGCCCTACCTTGGACTTAGAGCCCTCAGGAAGCAGTGGAGAGTAATTACAGGCAGTCCCCAAGTTACGCGGATCCGACTTATGTCGGATCTGCAGTTACGAACGGGGCACTTCCTCTCCCTGGTCTCCAGCAGACCAGGGAGAGGAAGCAAAGCGGCGGAACGCGCGGCCAGCTGACAGCCCAGACGCGTCTGGGCTGTCAGCTGGCCGCGCGTTCCGCCGCTTTGCTTCCTCTCCCTGGTCTGCTGGAGACCAGGGAGAGGAAGTGCCCCGTTCGTAACTGCAGATCCGACATAAGTCGGATCCGCGTAACTTGGGGACTGCCTGTAATTACTCTCCACTGCTTCCTGAGGGCTCTAAGTCCAAGGTAGGGCATCCACATTAACAAAGCCTGCCTTGGACTAATTTCAAGTCTTTTCTGTAATGTGGACATGCTAGTTTTAATTTGTTAAATTGGGAATTAAATCAAATTTACTAATTTTGAAATAATTTCCTTGTGTAGACATGGCCTAAGAGTAGATCAAAGTTTATCTTTATAGGGCTAGAATCTCTGAATGTTTTAGATAAATTCATGGAACTTTGTCCTACACATTATGTTGTCATTAACATCTATGCAAAATGCTACCAGATCAGAATGTCAGGTACAACAGACCCAAGGTACATACCAAGCTTTGTAGCTGTGCTGGACAATAATATTGATCAGCCAGTGGCTGACTACAGGAAGCCCCTTCCCCGGGCTTCCTGGAATCAGCCGCTGATCAGTTTCAGCAGCAGCTGACTTGGGGATGCCTGGGGTTCTTAAGTTGAATCTGTATGTAAGTCAGAACTGGCGTCCAGATTCAACCACTGTTGAAACTGATCAGTTTCTGCAGCGGCTGAATCTGGACGCCAGTTCCGACTTACATACAGATTCAACTTAAGAACAAACCTACAGTCCCTATCTTGTACGTAACCCGGGGACTGCCTGTATTTCAAAATACTGGCACGTGAGTGTCCACATTACTGTTATTTCAAAATAACTATTTCAAAATTAGCATTACTCCTGATAAAAAGCAGGAATAGAGATTTTGAATTCCACAGCCCGTTTTCCCAAAATAACGGGCTTGGAAGTGTAGATGGTCTGCTTATAAATTTGACCTGGGGAGGGGTTATTTTGAAATAAAGTCCTAGTATAGACCAGGGCTTAAGATCTAATCCTGAAAACCGTTTCTCATCAGAGCACTGGGTGGGTGCATTTTAAAAATCCTAATAAATAAAAACAAATAGCTAAACATTTTAAAAACAACAAGCAGTCCAGTAGCAGCTTAGAGACTAACAAATTTATTAGGTCATGAGAGTGTTTAGGACTGGATCCATAAAGAAGACTTTTTTCCCCCTTCTAGGAGAAATGTTGTGCAGAATGTATTGCAGCGTAACAATAGAAATCTATAATGTAAAAAGTCGGTGAAAGATTGCTGCAAACCTTTTGTCATCCTGGCAAAGTTTGTTACAATTCTACACTGAGTTTTTGTCAGAGCAACAAGCAAGACTTCTTTTCTCTGGGAACAAGCTGAAGCAGTGTTTTAAGTGAGAAGAGATACACTTCTATTGTTATGACAGTATGTAGACACCAATGCCTGTTACTGATCACTCAAAAACATCTCGTCTACAGAAATGGTTTATTGTTTATCAGTTTTGGTATGAGACAAAGTCTTTACTCTAGTAGATGATTGTTACTGAGATTACTGAAGTATTCATGTCAATTTTTATAAAAGTAGATATTTTCGGGCAATCAAACATGCCATGAAACGTCTTTTTTAGTGATCTGTCAAATTTCATAAAAAGTAACACTACATTGATTATTCATAATGTTATATATGTGCCAGCTATATTCTGCTTAAATAGACATTTTACAAAATATAGGCTGTTTTTTATTTCACTACAAGTCATTATATATATATATATAATAGCCAACCTGATAATAACATTGATGAATATTAATTCTGACTTTTGAAATCCATGGTCATTTTTAGACTGGTTTACAGAAGACCTCTTGTTTTCAGCTGTTGTGCATGTCAATATGACTATTTTGTTTATGCTGCAGTATGTTCTACTCATTACCTTGTGTGATATTTGAATTTCAGTCCTTCTCTTTATTGAAATCTGAGGGATTGTTAGCCTTTAGATCCTTCGAAATTGTGTAATTTACAAATTTTGTTCAAATATTTGAATGGTACCATTTTATTCTCAGTCAAGGACCTAATCTGGGCTAAATAAAGAAAACAGCTATTGGGAACATTAGGCCTGAACCTGAAAGTTGTTAAGGGACAGATTTTTAAAGGTATTTGGGTGTATAAAGATGAAGGCAATTGTCTAATGGGATTTTCCAACACAGCTAGGCACCTAATTCCCACTAATTTCAATAGGAGTATGGCACAATAGAGGAAAAGCTAATCTCAGTGGGAATTAGACACCTATCTGCATCCTTTGGCTGACAAATACCTTTCCCAGAAGCTCATGCTAAGAGCCCTTAACTCCAATTTCTTTAGCTCGGCTCCTTGCAGGATTGGGTCCTGTATTTGTAACGTACCATGAGATTTCTATCATTGCTCTGCTTGTGAAACAATCTCTCACATACCTGAGCTGTTGTTTCCTGCCAACATCGTTGGACTAACAGAGGATCTTCCCAGCCTGCTGGACAGAACTGGTGGTCCTGGAGTTCCATCCCATTCCTGAGCTTTTATTGGCTCCCTGGAGGAAGTTGCCCCATGGTGACCTCCTCTCTCTTTGTTTTCCAACTTTGGTAGGGGTTCAGTACTGTGGCTCCTGATCTTCACCTCATCTAGTGGTTCTACAAAATACGCAATGTTCACATTCCATTATCTAGTGCATTTTAATTAAATTCATGCAATGATATTCTCTCCCATACAGTATTCCATTTTCACTCATCATCCAGTGCTGTAAATGTACTCATTCAATAGAGTAATTGAAACCAGGATTTTACTTAACAGACAAGTATAAAAAGTGAGCATCCTTAATGATCCTTCTTGCTGAATGATGACCACCACAATATGAGAGATGGGTAAAATGGACCATTTTTAATTCACTTCTTTTTGTTAAACTCCAGTATTTTTATGAAAATACTTACTGTACAAAAAATAAAAATACAATTGATCTGAATTCTTTATGGTTGCTTATCCCTGCTAACTGGTGCTTCTATAACTCTCTTTCTACGCAAATTGTTTCCTAAGGTTTAATTTGTTCAATTGATGGGCTTATGATTTCCAGGAGCATTAATACAAGCTACACAAAATCTACTGTGCCTGACTAATTTAAGTATTTCTAGTATGTCCAGGAGCATAATCTATGGGCTAAATCCTGCTCATAAAATATGCTTAAATAATCCCTCTGACATCAAATGACTGGCTGCTCCATTTGCAACCATAAGAGTTAGTGAGGGGTTGAGAAGGCAGACAAACGGGAGAGCAGATTTTCTACAATGATGCCAAGGTTTCAGTAGCTTTTTCTATCCTTGATGACCATATATTCCTTCCATGGCCTACATTTGCTACTCACTCACTTCTAAGGCATGACCATCAACAAGGTGAAGCATAGGATTTTAAAAGTAACTCTAATGGAATTAACAAATCATTTGCATTTTTATTTTCTATGGTCTATGAACAAATAGCATTAAAAACACGCTTGGGGAAATATTAAAAAAAGACTTAAAATCATAACAGTTAATTATTATTCTGCCCACTTATACAAAGCCTGCCAATCATTTTTAAAAATTTTATTTGATGAAATATTTCCTCCAGAATTCCTTGCTTCATATTTATGCCCAAAAGTATTCTTATGTCATATTCCTGATTTATAAACATTATAATGGAAATGCTGGCTCTTCTGAACTTCAGCATTGATGTCTTGAGCACTGTAATGTAAATACAATATTAACTATCTATATAATATGGAGAAGGGAGAGAGATTTACCAAAAGTCTATCTACAACTATACACAAAATTGTTCACTGTACCTTGAACAAAGATCATAGAATAACAGAACATTAGAACTGGAAGAGACCTCGAGAGGCCACAAAGTCTGGTCCCCTATCCTCACGGCAGGACCAAGCACCATCTAGATCATCCCTGATAGATGTTTATCTAACCTGCTTTTAAATATCCTCAATGATGGAGATTCCACAACCTGCCTAGGCAATTTATTCCAGTGCTTAAACAACCTGAAAGCTAGGAACTTTTTCCTAATGTCCAACTCAAACCTCCCTTACTGGAATTTAAGCCCACGAGAATTACCCATCCCATTGAGATGGTAGATGTACACGTGGCCTCCTCCCACCCTGCCATTCCTGCGGGGGAAGGGGGGAAGGGGTAAGGAGGCTTGGGCCACTTGCCACCTCCCTTCCCACTGCTCTGGGGCAGGGGAGGCTTGGGCCGCCTCGGGCCATGGTACCTCCTCCCTCCTTGCTGTTCCTGAGGGCAGGCAGGCTCAGTCTGCGTGGCCTTTTCCCTGCCCACTGCTCCTGGGGATGGGAGAAGTTGGGGCCATGCATCCTCTTCCCACCCCATTGCTCTGGAGATGCTGGGGGGAGGGGGGAGTGCGTGTGGGGAGGGGGGGACCAACACTCGGCATGCTGCTCCTCCTTCTCCCCTCTCCATGGTCAGGGCAAGACCTCAGCGGAGGGGGCAGGGCTGTTGATGGTGCTGTGGCTTACCTCCCTCAAATCTTCTCAAATGTTCTCAGTGACAATGTGATGGACACCTCTCCTTCTATAATAGTATATAGATTACTTCTTATCCTATCATCAGATGTTAAGGAGAATAATTTTTCTCCCTCTTGCTTCTAACATCCTTTTAGGTACTTGAAAGCTGTTATCATGATACCTGGCTATATTTTGGATCCGTTCATATTTTAGTCAGTTGATGAACTTTATGAGAAAAATAACATTTTCTTTACAAAATCCATCAAGAAAACATTAATGTGAAGACACCTTTATCATTTCTAATGAGCAGGTATGCTATATCTTATGGAATCATTAAGATATGGTGTGAATTACTGTCAGTTTACAAGCTTGCTACTGTGAAGAGAAAGGAGTAAAAGGATTTTAATGATACAGAGAGTCTTTTCATCACCTAGCTTTAAAGTTTTTTGGAGTCACGGTAACCAATTTTTTTTAAAAAAAAACTATTACAAAACAATTCCAAGCTGATTATTCACATAAAGAATATTCAAAGTTACCATAAGTGTCAATCTCAAAATCTACCAACTTCCCTTCGAACTTTTAGACTATGTACCTTAATAGAGAAATATTGTAAGAGGGAAGGCAATCCCTGCTTTGTAACCCAAAGAGCTATATTGGAAAAGCACTGAAGAATAGTTTTCATCAATATTACACGACACAGGCTTTTCAGGGACATTCAGCATGAGATGTCTGCCACCAAGCCTTGTTTATGAATTCTTAGAGAGCCAGGGTAATGCAAGGAGCCATGTGCAAAAATGTGATGTTGCAGGGCTTTATTCATTTAACATTTACACATAAGTATAGTAGAAATGTTTCTACAAACTGAAAACATATGCTTCCTGTAATGCCACGTTATTGGGCAAGTGGAAGAGGAGAACAACTATCAGAAATTCAATCAAAATATAAACCAAAGACATTGAATACAAGCAGTCGTGGGAAGAACTAACTGCCTTCTTCAAAGTTCTGAGTGTCTATTTTCCAGTAAAACCAATGGAAATAGAGAAGTGTACTGTGCTCTGATCGATTCAGTTCCTAAGTAATAGCAAATGTGCCTAGGGAAGTTATGGAAAGAAAATATGTAACTTTACCAAAGCTCCATCATCTTATTGCAACATTCAAAAGAACTAGTTCACCATATCTTTCAACTGCTACTGTAAATACTTAGATTATTTTAGTGAAAGCCTTTTATATTTGTGACTTCTTATTTCTGGTTGAATACAACCACTTGAAATTTCATACACTGACAAAGTCATCCCTTAGTTACAGAAAAAGCGCTCCAGTTGCACGTGACACAATGAGGCTAAAAACCACTTCAGTTCACTTTACGGAGCAGCATTAGTACTTCTTACTTTATGCAAATGATTCTTCTGAATGTCACCTCTTATTTCTATTATCAGCTGAATCAAATGGCAGCAATTTTCTGCAAACAAACGGAGCTGTGGAAATACTCAAAGGCAATTTAAAACAGATTGATTAAGCAATGAGACCCAACAGGCAATCAATTTTGCATGATGCTATAAGGGAATCTGACTAAAGAGTGAAAAAGGTGCAATGCAATGCTCTGTTCCTGCAAACAGTTGCTACTGTGCAAAATACTAATTATCAGAAGGCACCTCAGTGAAATCACTTTTTTCAATGACACCACCTCTAGTCATAACCATTATGGCAAGCAGTGTTTTCCAAGACAGACTCTTCCTGTCAATTTGGAGAGTCAGTGTAAATTGCCAATCACTTCACTAGGAGCTATCTACACCAGCTACAAACCTGCCCTGAAATGTCTCAGGGCTGAGCTGCCCAAAAGCTGGTCTACATTAGCTAGTATTTGCTGGTTAGCACTAAGGACAGGTATTTTAGGGTATGTCTACACTACCCTCCTAGTTCAAACTAGGAGGGTAATGTAGGCATACCGCACTTGCAAATGAAGCCCGGGATTTGAATTTCCCGGGCTTCATTTGCATAAGCGGGGAGCCGCCATTTTTAAAACCCCGCTGGTTCGAACCCCGTGCAGCGCGGCTACACGGGGCACGAACTAGGTAGTTCGAACTAGGAAGCCTAGTTCATACTACCTAGTTCGTGCCCCGTGTAGCCGTGCTGCACGGGGTTCGAACCAGCGGGGGTTTAAAAATGGCGGGGAAAAATCTAATCTTCAAAAATCAATTTAATCTAATCTGGGACCACAGACATGAAAACAACCTAATCCTTTGGTTACTACATAGTATCACTAGGGACTCAGAGGGTATGTCTATACTACCCCGCTAGTTCGAACTAGCGGGGTAGTGTAGACATACCCTTATATATTTGGAATACTACAATTAGGCTAATAGGACTATAATCAGATGGGATTAATCAATGTAGTTGCCATAGCATTGGCAGAGCTAAGTCACTTTACCCCAGTCAGGCCCGCCGAAGGAGGATGGGAAGCAGAAAGGGAACAATTGCCCCAAGCCTGATGATTCAAAGGGGCCTGGGCTCCAGCCACCATTACTGTGGCAGTAACGGTGGCTGATGCTCCAGACCCTTTCAATGGCTGCCAGAGGCCCATATGGCACTGTGGAAGGGCATGGTCCAGATAGTGCCGAAAGCTAGCTGCCCAGCCCCATTCCTTCCACCCAAGGTCCCCACAGCCCTTCCACAATTCCAGAGCCATTCCCCCAACACCTTGTTTTAATGATGTCACCTCTGGCCATAAACATTATAGAAAACAGTGTTTTCCAAGTCAAACTCTTCCTGTCAATTTGGAGAGTCAGTGTAAATTGCCATTCACTTCACTAGGAGCTATCTACACCAGCTACAAACCTGCCCTGAAATGTCTCAGGGCTGAGCAGCCCAAAAGGGGCCTGGTGAGGTATTGGCCCATTTGAAGATTTGGTGTCAATTTATTTCTTAAGATTTTATAGAAAATAATTTTTTTCCACTTGTCAGCCTAGATTTCATATATTCCAGTCCCCTATCCCTTCCTGGAGAGCTTCTGCTCTGTGGTTATCTAAAAACTAATAAATCCTAAAAATGAAAAGTAGATTGGATCAAACTATACGCTCATGCAGGCCAATATTAGGCCCAAACCACTGTTATTCGATATTTATCAGTAACACTGAT